AGGTCTGGTGTCTGGAGAGTGGCCCCTGCCCCACGTGCAGACCCAGCTCCCCCTCTAGTCCCTGCAAGGGGCGGAGTGGGTGCATGGGCATCTCTGCACGTCCCAACACACTGGCTTCTCCAGGGACACCCTCTGTCACTCTCCCACAGCCACGCACACCCTACTTACCCCTCCCACAGGCCGTGTGCCTGCACGGCCCCGACCCAGCCGAAGCAGTCAGCGGCAGGCCACCACCCAGAGGGGTGGAGCCCCCAGATGCCCCAGAGGTAGTGAGCACTCAGGCTGCACTGTGCTCGCGAGGCCTACCAGAGCAGCAAGGGGGCACCCCCATCTGTCCTGGGGAGGCCCAGCGAGACTAAGGCTCAGCTGGGAGGTAGACCCAGAGATGGACAGGATGCAGGAAGACCTTGAGAAGGAGTGACCACACGGTCTCTGGCGGCACATGCAGCAGGAGTGGGGCCAGTGAGGATGGGGTCCCGAGGTGGGCCCCATTTGGGTGGGACCAGATACACAAGGCTGCAGGGGGCTGGGAAGTGGGCTGGTGGCAGAGGGACATCTCTCCAGCACAGCCCTGGGTGAAACTGCCCACAGGGCCTTGAGGAAGCCCGTCCCATCCAGTCCCCAGGAAACAGACACGCTCCTCCGCAGGCTGGCAAGAGCAGCCGAGCCCTTGCTTCAGAGAGAACGCCAGAAGCAGGCTGGGGTCAGATGGGAGAAGTGGGGACACAGGACGAGTGAGCACTGCCGCTCCAGGGCACCCAGAAGGCAGCAGCCGTGGGCGGGCAGAGCCCAGCTTCCTCCGCTGGCCCACGGAGATAGCATGCAATCACCCCATGCCACGCATCCTGGGTGCTCCCTGGCCGGGGAGTGGCCAGGGAGGGGCCTCTTGCCCTCATCCTCACCGGGCCCCTCAGCGGGCAGAGGTCAGCAGCCCGTTCTGCAGCCAGCGTGGGAGGACGCCCACGCAGCTGCCACGAAGGCCTCCGCATCTCCCCTGAGGAAGGCCTCTTGCAGCCCGTTCTGCAGCCAGCGTGGGAGGACGCCCACACAGCTGCCACGAAGACCTCTTTCCACGAGCTGCTGCACCCAGGCCCAGGCGCGGGGCTGTGCTGCGAGTCCTCAAGCCCTTCTGAGCAGGAGCCCTGCCTTCACCACCCCTCACTGTGCAGGGGCCCAGGGTCCAGCCCCAGACAGAGCCGACCCAGCCAGCACAAGCACAGTCCCCCCTCAAAGTGAGCCTCCCGGCACCCCCAGGGGCAGGGCAGGGCCGTGCAACGTCTCCAGTGTGATAGAGAAACTGAGTGACCGCCACCATGCTGGCCGGGCCACCTGGTACAGGTGGGTTCAGGACAATCATGCCGTCCATCCTGACAGAGGCATCCTGTGGGAAGGACCAAACCTCTACAGACCCCCGCCTGAGTTGTCCCTCTGTCCCCAGAGCCAAAGGCCTGTCTCCCTAAGCAAAGCGAGGTCTCCCTACCTCACCATCCCCTAGGACCCAGGGCAGCTGTGGTCCCCAGGGACCACCCACCTGCCCTGCAGAGGAGAGCAGGACTAGGGGTGGGCCGGCCCAGGAGGCGGGGCACTGCTGTCCCGGAGCCAGAGGAGGGAGGGCCTTCTCGCTCAGCCGGCGGGCTTGGCAGCGGGGTAGGGGCCCTGTCCGGGCACGCTGATCTCGGGCTGGTAGGCCCTGGGCCCACTGTCCAGGAGTCTGAGCCTGGGCAGAGCCAAACCTGGCCCCTGTGGGCAGCAGAGTACGCCAGGGCAAGAATGGACCAGCAGCAGAGCACAGGAGCCAGTGGCTCAGGCCAGCCCTGCCTAGCCACGCTGCCACCCAGCATCTGGGGATGAGTCGGCCTGTTGGGGTGGGCGGGCCTCTTCCCCAGTCACTGCACCTGGCCGCCCTCTCACCCAGCCCGGAGCGGCCCCCCACGCTCTTGCCCCACTGGATCCCCACGCAGTGGAGAAAACCCAGGCAGTCCCGGGGGAGAAGCAGAGCCACCTGACGGCCCCCAAACCCCTGGCAGAGCCGGGCCTCATCACCTCTGGGGAGTTGGGGGTGGGGAGGCGGTGGCTCGCGCGCTCCTGCCTGTGGGGCGAGGGGCCCTGACCCGCGAAGGCCTTTGCTGGCAGTGCAGAGGCCAGAGGTGCCCGTTCTGGGCCAGGGGACACGGTCCGCAAGGGGGTTGCGGGCGCTCACCATCGCACAGGAAGCCGGCCAGCCCCCAGATGAAGTCGGAGCAGAGATGGCAGAAGGTGGGCTTGGTGAGCATCACTTTTCGGAAGCTGTGACCTAGCGCGGCGGTGCCCGAGGGCCTGGCGCCCGTCTGCTCCGGCCCGGACCCCAGTCCGGACCCCGGACCCGGCCTCCCCCGGCCTCTGCTGCCC